GGAAATGAGATAGAGAACAAAAAGTTGCGAAAAACAGAGAATAAAAAAACGAAAAAAAAAGAAAAGCGAGAAAGGGGGGGAAAGAAAAAAAAATAGGGAAAAAGGACGGAAAAGGATAGGACGAGTAGAAGTAGAAGTAGAAGTAGAAGGGGGAGGGGGGGGTAGGGGGAGGTATTCGAAAGGTAATAGGAGCAGGAGGTTATACCCGTGGCCGCTCAATTAAATCTCGTCGACGTCGCGTGCAGGAAGCGAGAGTTCAGCTAGCTAGCTTGTACCGGAGGCTTCCTTTTCGATTTCCAGTGGGTGGAGACCCTCTCGAAATTTATTAGCTCGTGCATTCGACCGTCTAATCCTCGAATAGCCAGCCCGAGCGTGCAACTATTACCTGCACTCGTCGCGGTACTCATGTAACCGAGAGATACCCTTCTCTCTTTCTCTTTCTATCTCATTCAACATCTACATCTACCTTTCTCTCTTTCTCTTTCCCCCTCTTTGCTTTTCACTCCACTCCTCTTCCTCTTCCTCTTCCTCTTCCTCTTTTTGTATTCTCTTCATCTTTATTGGACAAAGACATAAACGCGGCAAAGCTACGGTAAATGTTTAATACCATGAACGAGAAAACGGTTTGTTGCATCGTACGGTATGTATATAGTCTAGATTATATTCAAGTTTGAAAACAGAATAGTAGTAGTTAGTTAGTATTAGTAGTAATAGTAGTAATCATTTCTGAATCAGGATTCGTATATATAAAAGGTCAGTTACGTCAATAATTAGTTCATTTCTATCGGACACTATTGCAAAATTCATTCTCCTCCCCAGTGAACCACAATACTTCACACACCCCACTCACACACTACTCCCCTCACTTAACCTTTTACGCTTCAACTATCATTGTTTCCTGTTTAATACTATAACGTTCAACGTTAACAAAACATTTAACCCATTTGTGCTTTAGGTATATGTGTGTCTCTGTGTGTGCATTTGACAACGTGTGCATAAGTATATACATCTACATACCCCCCACCCACCCACCACCCACCCCTCCGTTTGATATAAATTCTACAAAATATGAATTAACGTCGTGTTTTATTTTTGTTTTTTTTTTTGAAAAATCATACGTCAAGTACGTTTTTATCGAAACGTATTTTACCCGTTTGAGATTGTTTGTTTTGTTTTGTTTATTTATTTATCTAATATAATAATTCCACGTGCATTTCCATCTGTAGACAATAACAAAAACTAAAAATCGTACACACATTAAAACTCGGTATTGGACACAATCGAAAACGTATAGCCAACGGCATGAAAAGATAATTGGTTTTGGAGACACGAGTTTAATGGCCGAACGAAATTCACCTATCCCCCCCACAACCACCCCTGCCCGCCCCATCCCTCCCCCCCTCTCTCTCTCTCACACGATATATCGAACGATTTCCTTATCAACGTGATTTATCATAATTTACGGCTCGAATGGTTACACTATT